CTGCGTGCCCCGGCCTCACCCACCCCTCTGACTGGCAGCAAGCAGCTGGGGTGGCCGCCCAGAAAAAAAAAAAAAATGCCAGTGGGTTTGGCTAGAGCAGCTGGTCAAGCAAGCTCCGTGGTTTCCAATGCCCCCAAAAAGCCCAGAGCTGGGGATCTCCAGAGCATCTCAAGGCCCCAGGTGAGCAGAGTGGTCTTCCCTCCGGTGCTGTGGGTCCGACACCCTGCCCCCCTCATCAGCGGGTCAGGCAGTGGGCTCTCCTCTGCCTGCCCCAAGCCCAAAATCAGAGCCAGAGCCAAACCCTGGCAGGCATTCACCTAGCAGCGGGTCTGCTCAGAAGCAGAGTGCAGCCATGGTGCTCCCAGGAAGCTTCCAGAACACTCACGGAGTGCCAGGCACAGCGCTAAATGCACCCCCTACACCACCTCACCTCCTCCCAACCTGCAACTCTGACAAGCAGGTCCCATCATTGTCCCCATCTTTTGGATCAGGAGACAGAGGCTTGATCCAGCTCATGACCAGTGCAGAGCAAAACAGGACTCCAAGCAGTTCTTGTAACCACCTGGGAAAGGGTCAGTGAGGCCGACCTTCGGGGTCTTAGTGACACACCGGTTTGGGGGAGGGGAGATATTCTCGGACCCTGAAGGCAAGTTTGGGGCTTCGACCCGTGCTCCCACCCACAGAGCCCTCTCCTGTAACTCTCCCAGCAGGAGTGTGTCTTCACATATTCAAGGTCAGTATTTGCCACCAGAAGGTCCTCTCCTCTCCGAGGAGGCCGGGGCTGGTCCCCACCCTGCGGCCCCAAGGACCCCAATGCCTGGCACATACTAGGCTCTCAATAAAGGTGATTCGTGACCCAGCTTGCATAGACTCCATCTCCACTCTGCCCATCCAAGGCCCCCTCGCATTTGGCCTCTCCTGGTATTTGCACCCCAAATCCATGGGCAGGCTGACAGAGGAATCACCTCCAGCCACACACCACAGTGATTTTTTTTTCCTTTTAATTACCTTGACCTTCCTTTAACCTTCCTTTGCTTTCTCTGCTTAAAACATCATTGTTTTGAGAACAGGCAGAAGAGGGCACACTGTAGAGAATGCATAAACTGGGTCCAGAGAACAATCCAACACTTTCATCCCAAACGCTGGCCAGACCCCAAAAGCTTCCAGAGCCTGACAATCATGCAAGAAAAAGACAATGGCTCTGGCCCCTCCAGGAAGTGTTTGGGAAGATTCCAGAGAACTAAACGAGTTGACAGACAGTTTTTCACAGGCCAGTGTCCGTCACCTAAAACAGGGGAGCATCCCCTATAAAGGTTCATTTGTGTCTATTTTTGTGTTCGAGTCTCACAGCACATTAAATAAGCCTTCAAAAGCCAGGGTAACAAGGTAACATAAGCATTTAAAAAGCCACGTCCACAGCAGCTTTATTCACAGTAGCTAAAGTGTGGTAGGAACCCACATGCTCATCCATGGATGATGATAAATAAATGTGGTCCGTCCACACAATGGAATACCAGTCAGCCTGAAGAAGGGAGAGTTCTAACACACACAACACAGATGAACCTTGAAGACATGAGACTCAGCGAAATAAGCCAGTGACAGAAGTCCAAATACTGTAGGATTCTACTTCTACGAGGAGAGTCCCATCCACAGACAGGAGGTAGATGGTGGGAGGCAGGGGGCAGGGAGTCCGTGCTTCATGGGGACAGAGTCTCAGTTTGGGGAGATGGAAAGTTCTGGAGACGGAGGATGGGGGTGGCTGCAGGACAGTGAGTGTGCTTCATGCCGCTGAGCTGTGTACTTAAATATATCTAAGATGGCGGGGCACCTGGCTGGCTGACATGGTAGAGCATGCATGTGACTCTTGATCTCGGGGTCGTGAGTTGGAGCCCCGTGCTGGGCATCAAACTTACTTTTAAAAATAATAATAAGTAAAAATATCAAATCTTTAAAAAAAAAAAACTTACGATGGTAAGTTTTATATTATGTGTATTTACCCACAATAAAAGAAACTGAGGGGAAGAGAAAAGGCCAGAGCGGAGGGGTACTCAGCAGACAGGGGCGCTGCTTCAAAGAACAATCACTTCACCAGCTACTCCTAGGACAGGGCAATGCTTCTCCTAGGGGACCTCGGCACTGATCACACACCAGGAGCAGGTGACGTCCAAGCCAGAGGCCAGGAACCAGGGACCTCAGCAGGTGTCGGTCACAGCAATAGGTACAGAGGCACACCTTCCCCTCTGACAAAACCTCCCAGCGCTGAAAAAACAAGTCTGTTCTCAAAAGCAAAAGATTAGGGAAAAAAACAAAAAACAAACAAACACAAAAAAAAACACAAAAAACTGCTCACACCAGGGACATTCCTGCAGATAATACGGTTCTGGATATTTTGGCTAAAATGTGTACAGAAATAAATCCACAGAGGAATGTCTTAAATTATATCACAAGACACAAGAGCCCGGAGCATTTCCAACAAGCACCTAAATTTGGAGACCTCGGCAAAGGAATAATAAAAGCATGTTCCCTGTTTCCCTGGTGCCCCAACTACAAGTGGCTTAACCGTTTCTAAACAGAGGGGACAACCCCCCCCAAAAAATATGCCTTTTTTGTGTCTCAGACTTGGCACGAACCCCAGCTGTCTTTCATTAGCTGTGTGGCCTTAGGTAAGTTAAGTAACTTCTCTGGTCTCCAACATGAGAATGACAGTGCTCCCTCTGTAGCCGTGTGGCCTCTAACATTGATCCTAGACATCCTCTTCTGGCCTCGCCACCGTGGATGCCAACCTCCCCTCAAAGTCACTGCTCCCAGCTTATTCACCCTTACCTGTTGCCCACCCCCACCTCAGAAACTTCCCTGTTCTCCAAAATTCCAAAACCACAGGCAGTCGTTCTACTTCTGCTGAGACTTTGCCCAACTTTGTGATTTAGCTTCTCTCTCTGTCCCTGACCTGCCGACATCCCCAAGATTGCTCCACAATATAATAATCATCATACCCTCCCCCATTCTCAAACAACGAGGCTCTTTCCCCCCTTCACTGCCCAACCTCTCAGAAGACGTGTGGCCTCCACTTTCACCTTCTGCTATGCTACAACTCGACATCTCTGCCTCAGAAGGGCCCCTCCCCAGGGCTCCGATGGCTTCTCTAGGACAATTCCATGGATTCTACTCAGGACTCACCTTGTGTGGCTTCCCGACAGCTTTGGGCTCAGGCGAGAAGACCCTCCTTTCTCCCTTTCCTTGTATCTTTTGTGATACAACCGTTAAGCAGCCCACCCCCACCTCCACTCACTTTCTCCCACCTCGATCTCATGCTCACTAACTTCTCCCAGGGAATTTCACGGTGTATGAAAGAGTCGAAACAATAAAAAAGTAATGGATGTGCGTTTGGAACATGCCTTCCTGGTTACGAAAACATTATAAAACTATAGTGATTAGAACAGTAGCAGGCCTGGTACAAGAACATATTGATGGCTATTCAGAAACAGACCCCAAATCAAAGCCAAAGGAGTAAATTTCTGCAATAAACAGCAGTGAGACCCCAACGAGTTACTGGGGGGTAGGGGAGGGACATCCCTTTGAATCATGCACACCGATAGATCCCAAATGTCCCGGATGAATCTTTTTTAATGATAATTAAAATAGGGAATTTGGGGAAAAAATCATTTTATGGATGGAAAAGGACTTTCTAAACATAAAGTAACAACATGAGAGGCATGCAAAGATCCCACTCTGGACTCCATAAACATCTGAAGCTTCTCTGGCAACAGCCGGCGATCCAGAGCATTTTCACCACTGAACAAAAAGGTCTGAAAACCCATTTGGCAGGGATGCCTGGGTGGCTCAGTCGTTAAGTGTCTGCCTTTGGCTCAGGTCATGATCTCAGGGCCCTGGGATGAGCCCCGCATCGGGCTCCCTGCTCAGCCGGAAGCCTGCTTCTCCCTCTCCCACTCCCCCTGCTTGTGTTCCCTCTCTCGCTGTCTCTCTCTCTGTCGAATAAATAAATAAAATCTTTAAAAAACACAAAAACAAAAACATTTGGCCAAAGGGTCAATAGCCTTCATCTATGAAAACCTCACGTAGACTAGTATTTCGAAAACCACTAAAGTACTAAAAGATAAATGGACAGAGGATATGAACAGGAAGAGAAAACCCAAATGATAAATAAACATGTTCTAAAAGGCTCAACCCCGATAGCAATCAAAGAAATGCAAATACAGTTACAACACCTCGGCTCCTCCCTGCAGTAAATTATGAACAATGTTTCGAGCAACACTCAAAGCTGGCCAAGGTGTTCCCTCTCAGCCAGTGCTAGGAGGAGTGCCCATCAGTACAACATTTCCAGAAAGTCATCTGGTAACTGGTATCAAGAGCCTTTGGCCCAGAAATTTCACTTCTGGAAAAGCAAGGCCCAAAGAAACAGATGCTTGATAAAGCTCTGACCCCAAAATGTTCATCCTTCTCTTTAGAATAACTGGAAATCACCTAAATGCTCAAAGACAGGGAAAGGTAAGTAAATAAAGATACAACAGAACCATGATTAGGAAGTACTCCCACTAACTGTGGGATAAGGGCTGCTGTTGTGTTTCCTTCATCCATTTCTTTCCCCCAAACGTCTACCCTGAGCAATCTTACTTCTATAATCAGACGAGATAAACTTTTTTTTTTCCCCCACAATGAAGTCCACACTCATCCGCCTCTACCCCGTCCCAAGCAAGAGGAACATTCAACTATATAGCACAGGAAGTGGCAAAACCCGGCCCACAACTTGTCTTGTCAATAAAGTTTTATTGAAACACAGCCATGCCCATGTGTTGATGTGTTGCCATGGCCACGCTGCGGGGTTGTAACAGGAGACCACACAAACTGCAAAGTTGAAAGTATTTGCTACCAGAGCCTCTGCAGAAAAAATGTGCCACCCCCTGGTCTAGGGAAGGCCTCCAGCTTCTCACCAACGAACGAGGCGTGAGAAGCAGCCGAAAGCCCTGCGTACCCCAGCATACCTTTCTGGCAGTGGCTGTGTGTCCAACACCGCTCGACAAACTGCCCGTTGATGACAGTGGCGGGGCAGCTGGTCTTGCCCTTTGCGGTGCCTGGACAAATGTCCCCACACTCCTCGTTGTCGTCTTTGTTCAGCACAATGTAATTATCCTCCACAGAATCCAGGATGCGCGACCAGTCAATGGTGGCCAGGTAGCAGAGCTCATTGTTCTTCTCAATGCGGACGGAGCCCCGGGTAATGTTCATCAAGCTGTAGAGGCCAAGCTCCTTCAGGTGAACCATCTCGAAGATGACCAGCGCATAGTTGAAGAAGAGACGCGAGCCCCGGATGACCGTGAGGTTGGGGAACAGGTCCTTCAGGCTCTCCAGCCCATAGACCCGGAAGAGCAGCAAGTAATCAGTGATCATGATGAGTTTGGGGAAACTGAGGTCTCGGAAATCCTCGGGCCTCGTTTTGAACATCAACAGTATCTGCAAATGTCCTTCAATGACCGAGCAGTTGGCCAGCTCATGCAACCTCGTGAGGTTGTTCCGGATATCCATGCCAGGGCACACTAGAAGTGAAAACAAGCAGAAAGCAAGACAGGTGAGCAAACATGCCATGGACGGGTTATAAGAATTAGTGGCAGGCCCAGCTTCGCAGGTGTGCAACCCGAGTCGTGGGACTCATTCAGGAGGGCCCAACCCTTGGCTCAATGCTCTTCCATCCATCTTGAAATCCTTAATCATTTTTGAGCAAGGGGCCCCACGTTTTCACTCTGCCTGGGTCCCTGCAAATTAGCGAGCCCTGATGATGAGTGGTTTTCTCTACAGTGTCTGTGCCTAAGTCATCACTTCCAGAAGGCAAAGAACATAACCCCTTTGGTGGGACCTGTGAGCAGCCTGAGAACCATCGCATCGATTATCATGCAGTGGAGACCTTGGGACTACACGGGATTGAGTAAGGCGGCAGGTGCAGAAGGGAAAGGGGAGCTGTGCCTGGTGAGTCAACACTGGAGACTTGGCTTTAGGAGGATAAAGGTGCCCGCATCAAAATGGGGCAAGGAGAGCTGAATTTGTTTTGTCAATTCTCCTACCTCGAGGTCTCTCCTTCCCAACCTGCCTTCCTTGTTCCCTGTTACCTGATCTCCCCCGCACAAACAGTCTGCATGCCCATCTCCCAAAGGTGGTCCTTCCCGGGCTCCAGCACCCTCCCTGGCTCCCCATGACCCTGCACTTCTCCCTCCCAACCCTCAGGGCTCCCCCCTCGCTCACTCCCCTGCACCATGCTGAAGAGGCTGCCCACCACTCACACACCTCCAAGGCTCAGTGTCCTCCCCTTGTAACATGACCTATGGGAAGCAGTGAGTGGGCTAACAGGCATGCAAGCAGTGCCCAGCACACAGTAGGTGCTCAATTAACGCCAGCTATCTTGCTGTGGTTTATTTCTCCTGAACATATCACAATCATCCCGGGGCTCTGTGCCTTCACTTCCCTAGCTCAGACAGTAAATATGTTCGGCTTCGTGGTCAGACGGTCTGGGTAGAAACTACTCCACTCTGCCATCGTAGCTCCAAAGCAGGCGGAGACAGTATGTGAATGAGTGGATGTGGCTGTGTTCCAATAAAACTTTATTTACAAAAACTGGTGGTGGTCTGGAGTTTCATTCCTGGGGCTGCGGTGTGGTAACCCTTGCCCTCGTCCAGTGCTGTCCAACAGAACTTTCAGCACTGATACCAATGTTCTATATCTGCTCTGAGTTTCAATAAAAGCAAAAACGGGTCATTTAAACTGAACACAGAGTGGGCGCCTGGGTGGCTCAGTTGGTTAAGCGTCTGCTTTCAGCTCAGGTCATGATCCCAGGGTCCTGGGATCGAGCCCCGCATCGGGCTCCCTGCTTCTCCCTCTCCCGCTTCCCCTGCTTGTGTTCCCTCTCTCACTGTGTCTCTCTCTGTCAAATAAATAAATAAAATCTTTAAAAAAAAAAAGACCGAGGAACTGAATTTTTAATTTTACTTTAGTTAATTTAAGTGAAAATGGACACATGCAGCTAGGTGCTACTGTACTGGACGGGCAGCCCTAGCTCTGTTGGCTCTCAAAGCCCCTTTATGCCTTAGCTCCCTGTTTCTAAATCCAGCCCATCACCCTTCAAGATCCAGCTCAAACACCACCTCTTCCAGGCAGCCTTCTCTGATTTCCTTTCTCCCATATATCTATTAGAAGCTTTTCCTTCTCCTTGTGCCCCTTAAACTCGAGTTAACATTCACCAGAATCAAACTCTTGAGACAGCTTCTCCTTGCCAACACACACACACACACACACACCTCAACACCTGGAATATAAGGCTCGGTATACAATCTCCACTTACTATATTCTAAGACACTAACCCGTCCCCCAGTATCTTGGAGGCAAACAGATTATCCTAAAGAATAGTAGAAAATCCTCTTAAAAATCTACCCGGAGAACAACTCGCAAAAGCAGCACAAATCAGGAAGAAAGAAACACACACACACACACACACACACACACACACACACAAAGCAAAGCAAACAATTGGGGGAGTAAAGTTGCAACGTTCCTTAGTCAAGTTCTGTGCAGATTAGGCTAAATCAAGGGAAAATACACGCACACATTCATCTACTCACTAGGAAGTTGGGACGAAGACACCTGTTCGAGCTCCACACACAGCCCCCAGCTGCAGTCACATCCAAACATCCACATACAGAGGTCGCCCCAGGTACAGCGCCACTGACGTCTCCCACAAGCCCTGTCCCCCCCCCCCGACCAGCAGCAGGCAAGAGTGCCAGATCTGATGAATAAAAATGCAGGATGCCCAGTTAAATTTCAATTTCAGATAAGCAACAAGTATTTCCTTAGGATAACTACATCCCCTGCAATGTTTGGAGCATACTTATCCTTAGAAACTGTTGTTTATAGGAAATTCAAATTTAGCCGGGTGTTCTGCCTTTTCTCTGGCAACTTATGGTGTAGGTTTGGCCACAGTTCTGGGCTCCTCAAACCTGAACCTCATCCTGTGTTTTACATGCACGCCCTAAAATTTTACGGTGCAGGAGCAAAAAACACCTGCCCGCCATCCTCCCCAGGCTGTGGCAGGACCAAAACCAGGGATGAACGTTCATTCAACTGTTGAACACCAGGGAAATGCAAATCCAAGCCACAATGAGACACCACTTCACTCCCACGAGGATGGCTAAAATCAGAAATGGACAATAACAAGTGTTGTCAAGGATGCAGAGCAATTGGAACCCTTGTACTTCACCGGTAGGAACATAAAATGATGCAGCTGCTGTGGAAAAGTCTGGCGATTCTTCAAACCATTAAGCAAAGAGTTACCACGTGACCCAGCAATTCCACTCCTAGGTAGATACCCAAGAGAAATGAAAACACAACCACAGAGAAACTTGTACAGGCACACCTGGGAGATGCTGCGGGTTCGGTTCCAGACCACCGCAATAAAGCAAATATCTCAAAAAAATGCATCAAATGAATTTCTTGGTTTCCCCAGTGCATAAAAAAGTTATATTTGGGGGCGCCTGGGTGGCCCAGTCGTCAAGCTTCTGCCTTTGGCTCAGGTCATGATCCCAGGGTCCTGGGATCGAGCCCCTCGTCGGGCTCCCTGCTCAGTGGAGAGCCTGCTTCTCCCTCTCCCCGCTCCCCCTGTTTGTGTTCCCTCTCTCGCTGTCTCGCTGTCAAATAAATAAATAAAATCTTTAAAAAAAAAGTTATATTTGGGGAAGCTGGTGACTCAGTCGGTTAAGCATCCAACTCTTGATTTCGGCTGGGGTCATGACTCAGGCTCATAAGATCGAGTCCCATGTCAGGTTCATGCTGGGCATGGAGGCTGCTTAAGATTCTCTTTCTCCCGTGGGGCACCTGGGTGGTTCAGTTAGTTGAGCGTCTGCCTTCAGCTCAAGTCATGATCCCAGGATGCTGGGACTGAGTCCCACGTCAGGCACCCTCCTCGTTGGGGAGCCTGCTTCTCCCTCTCCCTCTGCCTGGTGCTCCCCCTGCTTGTGTGTGCTCGCTTGCTCGCTCGCTCTCTCAAATAAATAAAACCTTTAAAAAATAAAATAAACTCATCTGATTTTGGAACTTGACCAAAAAAAAAGATTCTCTCTCACTCTCCCTCTGCCCCTCCCTCCCCCTCTAAAAAAAAAAAGTTATATACCCATTATACTATAGTCTACAAAGTGTGCAACAGCATTATGACTAAAAAAAAGTATGCCCCTTAATTAAAAAATAATTCACTGCTAAAAAATGCTAATGATCATCTGAGCTTTTGGTGAGTCATAATCACCGATCACCGATCACCAAACCAATATAATGAAAAAGTCTGAAATATTGTGAGAATTACCAAAAATGACACGGACACACGAAGTGAGCAAATGCTTTGGAAAAATGGGGCAGATAGACTTGCTCGATGCAGGCTTGCCACAAACCTTCAACTTGTAAAAAGCGCAGTATCTGCAAAGCACGATCAAGTGGAGTGCAATAAAACAACCTATGCGTGTATACAAATGTCCCCGGGAAGCACTATTCATAATAGCCAAGAAGTGGAGACAGCCCAATGTCCATCAGCCAATGAATGGATAAACAAGATGTGGCATATCCATACAATGAAATACGATTCAGCCATAAGAAGGGATGAAGCCCTGATATGAGCAACAACACGGATGTAGCCTGAAAACCTGATGCTCAGTGAAAGAAGCCAGTCACAAAAGACCACATGTGCTATGATTCCATTTACACGGAATGTCCAGAAGAGGCCAACCTATAGAGACAGAAAGTAGATTAGTGGTTCCCAGGGGCTGGGGAGGAAGGAATGAGGAGGGACAGCTAACGAGGATGGGGTTTCTCTTTGGAGCACCAAAAATGTTCTAAAATGGACTGTAGTGATGGTTGCACAACTCGGTGAATGAAGTAAGAGCCACTGAATTGTAAACTTTAAATAGGTGAATTGCACGGTATTGAATCATAGCTCAATAAAGTTGTTATAAAAAATTAAATGACTATAATAGTAGGGAACAATAAAGAACTGCTTTTTTAAAGTCTCCAATGAATCTCACTCAACTCATTAAAGCTGTGTGTGTACCTATTAGTCCAAACAATAGAGCAATTTACTGTTGGGACAGAAAATATCCCGAGGATGTTCGAAATGGTGCCAGAAATAAATGTAGGGCCTTCTGCTGGCTTTTAATACCTCTGGGTGGGTACCGAAGAACGCTTCAGGTTCTTAATAAGTGGTACGTGGCTAGCCAGCCCTCTACACACAGGGAGAGCTGGGAGAGAAGGGCAATGAGGAGCAGGGGCATTGGGGGATCCAGCGACTGCTAATATAGTAGCCCCCTGTTATCCGTAGGTTCGGTTACCCATGGTCAACTGCAGTCAGAAAACATTAAATGGAAAATTCCTGAAATAAACAATTCGTAAGTTTCGAATTGCCGAGGATTCTGAGGAGCATGATGAAATCTCACGCCATCCTGTTTCGCCCGGTATGTGAATCATCCCTTTGTCCAACCCATCCAAGCTGCGTGCGCTAGACACCCGTTAGTCA